CCACGAGCTCTTCTCTTGACCTCTTTCTGTCTTCCGCCGCAGAGTCGCTGGAGGAGTCACCCCCATCTTTGCGACCTGACATTCCTAATGGACTCTCCCTCGAGGGACTGACACTAGTGTGTTCGTATATATCCTTTACTTGAAAGGGGGAGGCGTTTTATCTCTTGTATTAGACACGCGAGGGGAGTAGGGATATCTGAAGCCCTCTTTGGAGTTCGAGGGGTCCCCGCACATGCAACCATTTCAAGGTGTACATATGCCCCATCTGCGTGCCCTCTGTTGTTGCCGGTAGATCTAACCAGTCCGTATCCAAACACACGAACATAGGCTAGTCCACAAAAAATGGGGAGCCCGTGGTCTCAAAACCCGGCACATACTACACCGCGGGGAAACAAAACAAACAAAGGGTACAAACCACTCGGAAAAAGAAAGCATGATAGAAAGAACAGAACAGGTACCGCACCGACCGTTCGAAGAAAAGAGCCCTGGGAAACCGATCAAAATAAAACAAAAACACGATTAGTGAGGACGCTTCCCACACCCGCCTAAAGAAAAATCAACTGGTAACGTACCAGCACCAGGCACTACGCACCAGGGCATGGGAGTAACGGAGCAAACAGGACAAAGAGGCGGCAGATGGGCAGACAGCCAGACGTATAAAAACAAAAGCAACAGCAAAAGTGAGATCAAGGTACCCAACACAGTGTTGGTATGTCCGTACTTGGGAGGAGAAGACACGCTTTAACTCTCTCTGATTAGGCACCCGCGGGAGCGAGGAAAGGAAGGGAAGAAGTGGCCCTACCGAATTCGGGGAAGGGGGCCCACACATAGTAGCCTTTTTCAGGCATACGCATGCTCCTGTCTACATACCCCCCCGTGCTGCTAGCAGATCTACCATGCTTGTATCCAGACACACGAACACCCTCCCCGGTTTGTCAAGCTATTGACAGACCATCAGTGGGGCATGGATACTCCAGATCTACTTAAGTTACTCATACAACAACGGGTGCAAGGGAAAAACTCGGCCATCCGGATCAAAAACCCTCGCCTACAAACTCAAAACATAAAAGAAACCGTCGCTATCACGAAGGATTCCAACGGCCGCACTATCAGGGCAGGACCAAGGCAGGACAGATTGGACAGGCCACGCTGATTACACACCCGAAGCAATTGGTCAAAAACCCTAAGCTCCCG